GGGGGCAGGGGTGTGGAGAGGGATTGGGGCAGTCAGGGGACAGGGAGGGTTAGATGGGTTGGAGGTTCGGGGGGGGGGGCAGTCAGGGAACAGGCGGCGGTTGGATAGGCGTGGGAGTCCCGGGGATCTGGCGGGGGCAGGGGTGTGGATAGGAGTCAGAACAGTCAGGGGACAGGTAGGGTGGGGGGGTCTCAGGAGGGGGCAGTTGGGGACAAAGATAAGGGAGGCTTAGATAAGGGGTGGGGTCCCGGGGGGTGATTAGGGGCAGGGGTCCAGGGAAGGGGCAATCAGGGGACAAGGAGCAGGGAGGGTTGGATGGGTTGGGGGTTCTGTGGGGGGCAGTCAGGGGGGCGGGAATTGGGAGGGAGTGGCTAGGGGCGGGGCTACACCCTCCCTTCCCCCGGAGTGTCCTCTTTTTTGAAAGTTCAAATATGGTAACCCTAGGGGAAGGGTCGATGGGTAACTGGGATCCTGAGACTGACTGTCCCCAGGACCAACGGGGAAAGGCCAATGCTCAAGGTCAGCCTGATGGACAGGGCAGGCAGGCTAATCAGGGAGTCAGCAGAGAAAGGAAAACCTGGGGTGGAAATTGCAAGCAGATGATTTTAGAAGTGCAAAGTCAGGTTACAGCAGCAAGACTGAAAGACCAGAGTCAGTGTAAGTTTAAATTCTTCTTCTCTCTGAAGAGACAGGTCAGAGCTTTCAAGGGCAGAAAGCAGTTTTAAGACCAGATTGTCTGCTCCCCACAGCACCTCCTATCCATCCCTCTCAGGTGATGTTTATTGGGATTGTCAGGGGTATGGTTATGAGTATGTGGAACTGTGGGTAGGTAGATGAGGAAAGAGAGAGAGTATAGTTAAGATTCCGCAGGGAGAACAAGACAGTCTAAACAAATAGCTACCAAAGGTCACTAGAGTTTGATTGATTTAGGGGAAAATCTGAGGAAGAAGCACAAGAAACAGAATCTGAGGAAGAGGAGGCAGAGCCCAGCGGCATGCCTTGACAACCACGAGGACCTTCCTTTAACACTAAAATAAATAGATTAAAAACTTCCACTAAAACTGAAGGGTCAGACGCTGTTACTAATATTAAAACACTTACACTGTAGCTCAACAGGTGGGTCACTTGCAAAAAGGGGATTCCATCTTTCTGCATGTTAACAGATTTAAACAACAAAAGGAGCTACATCATTTAACTCAAGAAGACCTCATTAAAATACTGCTGATGACAGCTGACCGGCCAGCATGGAATGTTAGAAAAAGGCTTTGATGAACCAGTAACGCAGTTCCAGGGAATTCTAAATCCTGGGCAAACTGGAATTACTCTGATGGCAAATATTAAAAATCCCCAGGGGAACTTTGTACAAATTATCGTGAAAGGCTGTCTTCTGCATGGCAAATGAATAAGATAAATGGCACTGTTAATTGGCATCAGGCCCCCAGTATGTAAGTTTGCTATTGAATAATGCTAGAACTGGGATCAAAAATAAAATGGAATGAGCAGGAAAACCAGACACCCCCCGAACTGAAGTTTTGGAAGTAATGCTGAGAACACACGAAAGTATCATGGCCAGTAAGGCTGAAGCAGGGAAAAATAAAATCACTGAAAACATAGCAAAGGTGGAAGGACCCGAAGGGTTAACCGTGAGCAGGCAAAGACTCCAAGCCCAGGATTTTAAGGATAAAGGGAAAAATTTCCCTGGATGGAATTCAGCTGTTTTTGTTAAACCCAGGGGAGGTTTTAATGACATACACGCTTAGGAATAAATTCTAGCTGGCTGCCCTCTGGGCCACAAAACCCTCCGCCACACCAAAGGGTGGGCAGGGGAGAAAATTATAATAGCCGTCAATATACACAGCATGCATCCCCCGCGCTGCATCAGGAGGGTCAGGAGAGCTACCCTCCATATCCTTACCAGCACCTTAGAAAACAAGTAAATAGGCTGCCTGATCAAACTGATGGAGTAACTACAGTTCACAGCCGAACACATCTGCCCCGGGAGTAGCACAGACCACACTCACTGCCTCACCGGACCCGTCTCCTTCACAATGAGGGTGTCAGGCCTCATGTAAAGTTTTTTGTCCTTTGCAATTCGATAGCTGTGGTCGCCCTTGGGGGTTCACTTTGGTTAGAGGCCACCAATCTGCTAAATGACACGGGAACATCCATTTCTCTTTGGCATGAAGTTAACCCTTCTGTTTCTTCCTTTAATGCTGGAAGCTTTTGGCTTTGGAAACCTTTGCTACGCCTCTGCCTAGGAGCAGCAGGGACATTTCGGAGCGGCAGGGAGCTGCCTGCGGTGAGTGCTGCATGGATCTGGCACCGTGAAACCCCTCCTGTGCCCCAACCCCCTGCCTTGAGCCCCCTCCCACGCCCAAACTCCCTCCCAGAGCCCACACCCCCTCCTGTGCCCCAACCCCCAGTCCTGAACCCCCTCACACACCCAAACTCCCTCCCTCCACTGGTAAGTATAATTCTTAATTAACCAGAATTGTTGACTAACCGGCACCCCTCATTCCCCCAACGTGCCAGATGATAAAGCTTTTACTGTAGTGCAGAAACTACCCCCCGAGCTCTGTACCACATTTGGGTGAAGTTTACAGCGGGAGGGAAGATACTGCTCCTCCTCTTCCCACTGCCTTGCTCCTCTGCTGTGCGAAGCCGCAGCACTATCCCTGCCGCCCCCAGCTTCTGCTGGCCAAGCTGCTTGGGAGCAGGCGCCTGTATCCTGATCTGCTGCGCAAAGCTGGGCAGGGGCTGATGTTGGGGTGCCCCCCTCCCCCAGCTCATGTATCTGGTCTCTGCTGAGCTGGGCTGGGGAGACCGTCTGTCTGTGCCGGTGC